GTGGTTTAGTTTCAGACAAGCTATGAGAAGAGCCCTCATTTATCTGGATGGGACTTGGGGATCTTCTTTTGGCTGTCACTGGACTCGTCCCATTCCCACGGGAGCTTGTGGATGTTGCTATGTTCTCTCGTCCCCGAAGACGAGCTAATTTCAGCTGTGTCTCCTCTAGCCTCTTCTCTGCTTGATCGAACTATACAATTCATCCAATGGAGGAGAAAATGGGGATGTCAATTTTGCTCCCAAAAAGTACAAGAACAACTCTTTAAAGAAACAAAAAATCTATTCCTGTAACTATAGAAATGTAAATCATCTCCAAGTTGCAGCTAACATTCGATAGATCATGCTGAATTTGATGCTTCAGTGAACTGCATCAAATTAAATAGGAAAATGAACTGCTAATATACAAGCAATTCTGTTGCACTATAATAACTTTAGCGCCAAGATGGATCTCTCTTGCTACAGGAAAAAGATAACTGAAAGCTTTTCACTCATCCAATCTATGCTTAGATATGTGTATCAATGCATGTAAGCAAACAGTAGGAAAAAGGTATGCTGCCTCCTTCTCAGCCAGAAGGAAGCATGCAACTGCCAAAAACAGGAGTGAAAGAACAAAGACCCCAGAATGTGACATTCGTGTATAAAGAATCAACACAGTTGTTACATATGCCACCGCAGTTACTGCACACATAAAGACTATAGTATTCAAAACAGCCAGCTCATATTCCAATAGAAATCCTCAAAATGACACCATTAGTCTCAAAGGTGCAAGGTCACATGTTTACTACTGACATCAACTTAAAGTTGAGGACACTGCCTTTTCTTTTGGGGTGGGGGTGGGGTCAAGAAGTTTGTAAAGACAGAAGAAAGAAGAGATTTGGGAATGAATTGTAATTATCCCCTCAAACATGCTGAGATTTAAATAGTTTTACAAGAAATTCAAATAGAAAAGGAAAAAAAGTAATTCCTATAGCTAATTACACAATTACAGCCTACAGGGATCTCAAACCTTTCCCATACTAACAAGGTACAGATTATTGCATACTTACTATTTCCTAATATTGACATTTTTAACAAAGTTGAGGAAACTACTATATCTGACAGCCACTAACTGTTGCCTCAATTCTCTCCTAATATCTACTTGAACTTGGGAACTAAAGGAAGAGAATGGACAGTTTTAAGGTTTTCTAAATGTAGCATCTAGCAATTGCACCTATCTTTACCAGAATACTTTTTATCAATGGGAAGACAAAACATCCAACTAACGAGTGTATTAACATGCCGTATAAATGCTTCCCATTGAAACATCCAGCTAACAACTACATCAACAGTTCGTATTACCCCGAAAAAGAAAGAAAACAAACAAACACAGCAGTTATATTGTACCCTAATTACAGTCCTTGCTGAGGATACGCATTCTACCTTATCAGAATTTCCATGTTCTCACAAGGTTAACTTGTCCACTTGAAAACTATGGTAAGCAAGGATTCCTAAAATCAGATTACAAATGCAATGCAAACAGATTTGAGAAATTAGTGGGAATACAATCAAGCCAAATGGTCCAAGTCTTCCAACAGTCCAGCCAATGACATTCCTATCAGCGACCAAGAAAAGAAATGGTAACTCTCTGAACTTCCAATATACAGGATTTGACACAGAATTTATTTGCAAATAAGCCATAATGAAGATCCAATAGGCTGCTATGGAAGTATTTAGCATCAAGAAAAAGTAAAAGGTACGAGCTTTAAACTTTCTCTTTGCGCTTCGACAAACAGTAAAAGCTAAAAGAAGGTAAAGATGGGGGATGTCATTAATGCTCCGAAAATTAAGAGAATGACTTCGAGAATAAAAGGTAAGTCATTCCCTAGGTTGCAGTCAACATTCAACGCACATCCTTCAGTGAATTAAATGCAGGCCAGCATAAGTTGAGAGGTAATTACAACAAAGTATGCAAGTATAAATCTCTCTAAAAGCAATTCCGAAGTCCAGTAACTTTAGCTTCTAGATGTGTCTCTCGCATGCACTAGATAAATAAAAGCTTTTTACACTTTATTCATTAAATTCCATGTTTAAATACGTACGTCAATGTGTATAAGGTAGCAGTATGAAAGTGGTATCATGGATCCTTCTCAAAGAAGAAGGAAACTTGCAACTGCCAAAAAAGGGGAGAGAAAAACAAAGACCCCAAAATTCACATTCATGTATCTTTGTCAGCAAGACTGCTGGGCATGCCACCACCATTACAGCCAGCTCATTTTCCAATTGACGTCCTCAAATGCCATCATTTGCCTTAAAGGTGCATTGGTTCACATAATTTTACCGACATGAACTGTGCTACATTTCATCTGTTCAGGCGTTGTAGCGACTGTTACATCTCATTACCACTAAACATTACCTCGATTCTTCATCCTCAAAAATCCTTATAACGGGGAACTAAGGTAAAATGTTGGGAAAGTTTCCAGAGTTTGCAAAAAATAGTATCTCACAATTGGACCTATTTTACTGAACCACTAGTTACCAAGGAAAGACTAAACATCCAACTAATGAGTGTATTAGCATGTCATATTATCCCCAAAAGAAAAGTCACAAACAGAAACGCAAAGACAGCAACTAGCTTTTTACCCCAATTACCACCTGATCGAAATTGTCATGTTGCGCTCTCCAAAAAATTAAAAATTATGGTAAGCACGGATGCTTAATATCAGATCACAAATGCAATCCGATGGACAATCCAAAAACTCGAATTCGAGAAATCAGTAGGAATCAAGCGACCTAAATGGACCAATCGTCTTAAAACCCAGCTAATTAACATCGACAATATTCCGAACCAAAAAAAGGCAACTTTACCTCCGATTCAGGTGTTTTATCAACACACATTTATTTGCAAATCAAAACATTTAATGAAAATTCAATCAGCCACTATAGGAAGTATTTAACTTTTTTTACAAAGGTAAAAGGTACAAGTTTTACACCCTCTCTCTTGAAGCTTTACATTGACCAGCAGAACCAGATGTAGCAGTGTTGCAGCTGGTGCTACTGATCCCACTGCTCTTGATTTGAACTATATTATACAGTTAATCAATTTCAAACTGTATATGCGTCTGTGTGTGTTTCCAAGGGAGTACCAAACGTTGAAGGGCTGGAATGACAATCTCAAAACCGAAGTTCCAATAAATTCTCTTCACGTCTGTCTAACATCAATCAGTAGTGTTTCAACCAGTGGGAAACTGAGGCGGATCCAACATTTCAACTCTATGAGTTCAAGTTCGGGATTCTACCAAAATTCATTTGATTTACTGGGTCCGTAATCAATTATTTGTACTTCTTTAGTGAATTTCTTAAAAACATACACGGTATCTAAGTGGGTAAAGTCACCGGTTGGATTAGCTAGCTCGAATACCATGTTATAGAGAAGTATGCGTATATATAATAAGTTCCCACTGACTATCAGTCTATCACGAAGTAGAAACAATTGCATTTTCATCTATTGAAATCACTGAGTTAAAATTCAGGATCGGCCGGATCAATGAACTGCTTTTACAACAAATAAAATCATTTAGAATCAATATAAGAGCATAAATAAAAATACCTGAGAAGTGTAATAGGAGAGGCGTTGGCGAAGATGTTCGACTTCTTTAGTGCGGTGTTCAATGAGAGCTACAAGTGCTTCCTCTTGCTCCTTTCTGTTCTCTTCTTCAATTCCATTGGCTTTTTCTTCTTCGGTTTCAATCTTCGGCTTTTTCAGAACCGGAGGAGGTGTATTCATTTTTACAGAACCTTTTTTCCTCTTTGATTAAAGTATATTGGCGGCGGCGGTGACGAGACTGCCGTCTTCTTCTTACCGTCTACCGTCGTCCGACCAACTTCCGGTTCGACGAGTTCAAGGGGGATGTTTGGTGTTTATCCAGGTGCGTGTTGTGTTTTTTTTTTTCTTTCCGTATAATGGGTGAAAATTATGATTTTTATTTAGTAGGTGTAAATGTTTTACTGCTAATACAAATACGTAATCGATGTCTCAAACAAATAAGAAATGATTATTACTCAAGTTTTTTTGCCCTTTTGGAGCATTAATTCATCTTCGTTCGTTCTCGTAAACTCGCAATTAACTATAAAATAGAATTAAGAAATATATGGTATATATTTATTATTTATTTATTATGCTTATGGTGTAACTTTATCAAATCTTATCTAATTTTACATGGCATGATTATTTTTTAGTACTCAAAACAGGGATTATGACTATTATGAACTCAACAAGACCATGCCTTAAACTTCCGGATAACTGGTTTGTGTATGATCGAAATCAGGTATGCCCAATTACGTAGGCTCGAGAAGTCGCTTCGAGAATAAGTTCAAAACGGACCCGGCTCGAGCCCGATGGCGGAGTACAGAACTTGAAGATCAAAGCGTTCAAAGAACACCGAGGCCGAGTATGACCAACCTCGATATAATACCGTTATGGTTTAGGATTCCCTACTATAATTAGAAGTGTACCTTACTTAGGATTCTCATATTATATAAAGGGGAACCCATTCATTTGTAACGAATCTGTTAGTTTATATGAGTCCACCAAACTATAGAGTACCTAGTCCTCTATGAGTTTCCACTGAGAATACTAATGAAGCAGTAAGTAAAAGAGACACGGAATTTTTAGGTGGAAAAATCTCATTCAATGAGACAAAAATCACGACCTACACTTGTAGGCTTTCAACTTCACTAACTTGTAATCACACTGTTACAAGCCACTTTGTAATGACTCTATTACAAAGACTTCAACTCAATTAACTTGTGATACACTTATCACAAGCCATTTTGTCACTCACTAGTTACAAAGACTTTAACTTATGAATAACTCTAGTCACAACACAAACTCAAAAGGTTTGTGATTTTGGGTTTCCTAAAACACAACTTCTAAGAAAGCAAGATAGGAGTTACAATGAAGAACAAATAAAAAGATTACAACTCAACTACGGATACACATAGACTCATTGTGACACTGATCCTTTAGTGGAATTGTCTTCTTGTTCTTGACACACTTATGACTTCAATGTTGGATCAACACTTTAATGCTTGAGAGAATATCACTAAATGCTCAAATAAATATCTTGTGTCTTGCACCATGTCGTTATACTACCAAAGACATCACAAGGATGATGTCAATTCTAGGTTGGTACACGCCTCTTCCTAATGGGAAGTGACTGCTACACTGTCTGCTGCATTGTCGCGTGTACAGTTGCAGGCAGTCACTTTCTGCAGTTGCTTTCCAGTTGTATAGTTGACTTGTACTTCTGTCAGAGAACATCAAGGGATCAGGTCCTTGTCTTGTTCCTCTTTTCTCTTTGTTTGCAGCAGTTCACATTAGCTGGAGTTCAAGCTAAACTTCGTTCATTTAAAATGTGTACCAAGTGAGTCAGGTTCCCTATCTGGTTCTTAACAGTAAGTTTGTTAGATCATCAAAATATAAGGCAAAGACATTGAAAACTCATCAATTTATGAACTCAACAAGATCATGCCTAAAACTTCCAGATAACTGGTTTGTATACAGTCGAAATCAGGTATGCCCGATTTCGTAGGCTCGAGAAGTCGCTTCGAGAATAAGTTCAAAACGGACCCGGCTCGAGTCCGATGGCGGAGTACAAAACTTTAAGATCGAAGCGCTCAATGAATATCGAGGCCGAGTATGACCAAACTCGAGATAATACTGTTATGGTTTAGAATTCCTTACTATAATTAGAAGTGTACCTTATTTAGGATTCCCATATTATATAAAGGGGAACCCATTCATTTGTAACGAATCTGTTAGTTTATATGAGTCCACCAAACTATAGAGTACCTGGTCCTCTATGAGTTTCCACTGAGAATACTAATGAAGCAGTAAGTAAAAGAGACACGGGATTTTTATGTGGAAAAATCCCATTCAATGGGACAAAAACCACGACCTATACTTGTAGGCTTTCAACTTCACTAACTTGTAATCACACTATTACAAGCCACTTTGTAATGACTCTATTACAAAGACTTCAACTCAACTAACTTGTGATACACTTACCACAAGCCACTTTTCCACTCACTAGTTACAAAGACTTTAACTTATGACTAACTCTAGTTACAACACAAACTCGGAAGGTTTGTGATTTTGGGTTTCCTAAAATACAGCTTCTAAGAAAGCAAGATAGGAGTTACAATGAAGAATAAATAACAAGATTACAACTCAACTACGGATACACATAGACTCATTGTGAAACTGATCCTTTAGTGGAGTTGTCTTCTTGTTCTTGACACACTTGTGACTTCAATGCTGGATCAACACTTTAATGCTTGAGAAAATATCACTAAATGCTCAAATAAATATCTTGTGCCTTGCACCATGTTGTTATACTACCAAAGACATCACAAAGATGATGTCGATTCTTGGTTGGTACACGCCTCTTCCCAATGGGAAGTGACTACTGCACTGTCGCGTGTACAGTTGCAGGCAGTCACTTTCTGCAGTTGCTTTCCAGTTGTATAGTTGACTTGTACTTCTGTCAGAGAACACCAAGGGATCAGGTCCTTGTCTTGTTCCTCTTTTCTCTTTGTTTGCAGCAATTCACATTAGCTAGAGTTCAGGCTGAACTTCGTTCATTTGAAATGTATAACAAGTGAGTCAGGTTCCCTTCCTGGTTCTTAATAGTAAGTTTGTTAGATCATCAAAATATAAGGCAAAGACATTGAAAACCCATCAATTAATGAACTCAACAAGACCATGCCTTAAACTTCCAGATAACTGGTTTGTATACAGTTGAAATCAGGTATGCCCGATTTCGTAGGCTCGAGAAGCCGCTTCGAGAATAAGTTCAAAACAGACTCGGCTCGAGCCCGATGGTGGAGTACAAAACTTAAAGATCGAAGTGCTTGATGAATACTGAGGCCGAGTATGACCAAACTCGAGATAATACTGTTATGGTTTAGAATTCCCTACTATAATTAGAAGTGTACCTTATTTAGGATTCCCATATTATATAAAGGGGAACCCATTCATTTGTAACGAATCTGTTAGTTTATATTAGTCCACCAAACTATAGAGTACCTGGTCCTCTATGAGTTTCCACTGAGAATACTAATGAAGCAGTAAGTAAAAGAGACACGGGATTTTTACGTGAAAAAATCCCATTCAATGGGACAAAAATCACGACCTACACTTGTAGGCTTTCAACTTCACTAACTTGTAATCATACTATTATAATCCACTTTGTAATGACTCTATTACAAACACTTCAACTCAACTAACTTGTGATACACTTACCACAAGCCACTTTGTTACTCACTAGTTACAAAGACTTTAACTTATGGCTAACTCTAGTCACAACACAAACTCAAAAGGTTTGTTATTTTGGGTTTCCTAAAACACAGCTTCTAAGAAAGCAAGATAGGAGTTACAATGAAGAACAAATAACAAGATTACAACTCAAATACGGAAACACATAGACTCATTGTGAAACTGATCCTTTAGTGGATTTATCTTCTTATTCTTGACACACTTGTGACTTCAATGCTGGATCAACACTTTAATGCTTGAGAGAATATCACTAAATGCTCAAATAAATATCTTGTGCCTTGCACCATGTTGTTATACTACCAAAGACATCACAACGATGATGTTAATTCTTGGTTGGTTCACGCCTCTTCCCAATGGGAAGTGACTGCCGCACTGTCTGTTGCACTGTCGCATGTACAGTTGCAGGCAGTCACTTTCTACAGTTGTTTTCTAGTTGTATAGTTAACTTGTACTTCTATCAGAGAACACCAAGGGATTAGGTCCGTGTCTTGTTCCTCTTTTCTCTTTGTTTGCAACAGTTCACATTAGTTGGAGTTCAGGCTGAACTTCGTTCATTTGAAATGTGTACTAAGTGAGTCGGGTTCCCTATCTGGTTCTTAACAATAAGTTTGTTAGATCATCAAATCATAATACAAAGACATTGAAAACCCATCAATTTATGAACTCAACAAGACCATGCCTTAAACTTCCAGATAACTGGTTTGTATACGATCGAAATTAGGTATGCCCGATTTCGTAGGCTCGAGAAGTTGCTTCGAGAATAAGTTCAAAATAGACCTGGCTCGAGCCCGATGGCGGAGTACAGAACTTCAAGATCGAAGCGCTCGATGAACACCGAGGCCGAGTATGACCAACCTCGAGATAATACCATTATGGTTTAGGATTCCTTACTATAATTAGAAGTGTACCTTATTTAGGATTCCCATATTATATAAAGGGGAACCCATTCATTTGTAACGAATCTTTTCATTAACAAGAGAACATACATTCATCACTTTCTTGCTTAATGTTCATCAGAGTTGCCTTATAATTTTATTGTTCTTACTGACCTACCTCAAGGCCACCCTAACTCGAGGTCAAAACTTGGCTTGTATACTGGTTTGACTTGCTTCATTTCTTCAATTTATATATTTAATCTCTTATTTATCAATTGGTATTGGACTAAATTACGTATCTTTAAAACCACAATATAAGTTTAATTGTTACTTAGATTTTAGAAATAGTTTGGCACCCACCGTGGGGCTAAGGATAATAGTGATTGTTTTGGTACTGATTCTGATCACACACATTATTTTCACATTTGTTCTAGTCAAGAATTTTTGTTCTCAGGTTAAAACTTGACAAATTCCCAAAACGCACCCGCACATGGTGATGATGGTTTTGGATTTCACGGGGAAAACGATAACGTAATTGCTCCAGGAGCCGAGGTGCCACCGGTTAATCTCGGGGGTCGGTCGACCCGGTCGATATCAGTTTGTACATTGCTTTGAATGCGGATTTAGACGTAGACCTCGAAGGGAGTGTACGTAGGGAAGGCCGATTTGGTGGCCAAGGAACGCAGGGTGTAGGAGACGGGGGAGTTAGACTCCAGGTAATATTCGAGATGCTACAGGCTCAGCAGGTTGCTATCGCTC